CCATATTTCCTTTAGAACTGGTACAGGGCATTTCTGGATGCTGCCCGGGGAGGTAGGTAATCCACAGACACCCCAGCACCACAAGCCATGAATATGTCAAAATTTAAGAATACATACGAGATCGGTCGTTGCCTCGTCTATCAAGGCCCGCGCCAGACAGTGGGAAACCAGGCTGTCATGTGCCAAAAATTGGCTACTGGAAAATTTGAAATATATAGGAAAATCAGACACCCCAGGAGGAGGAAGAGTGGGAGGGAAAGCAAAGAGAACTCAGACAGCACAGCAAAAAATACACAGATGCTCAATATTCTGCAGCTGAACATCTGTGGAATAAGAAATAAGAAACTTGAACTTGCCAAACTGCTAAACAACCACAGGGTACACGTGGCTGCCCTACAAGAAACCCTGCATAAAGACTCTGATCTGCATCTCACTGGATATACTAGTTATGCCTTTAAGTGCAATGCCGGGGCATAGTGACCTATATCAGAAACAACATACAAGGAGATGTAACAATGCTGTCTACATCTCACCCAACAGATGTGCAAAAAATAACTATCTGGCACAATGGAAGCAAATATACGATATACAACGTGTATAGCCCACCTCAGACAACATGCAACATACCAGAACTATACAAGACACAGTACCATAAAACCCTTCTTGTTGGTGACTTCAACGGACACTCGCCACGTTGGGGTTACCCTGACTACTATAGCACAGGGAAATACATCGAAGATACTTGTGAAAAAAACTAACCTATTAGTGCTGCAGGACACAGAGTCTACACCTACACTGTTACACAGGGCCCACCTATCTCTCATCCGACCAGACCTGACCATCTGCTCATCCGATTTAGCAGACGTAAGCTATCCCCAAGTCCTGGATGACATAGGAAGTGACCACAAACCTATACTCACAACTGTAAGCACCACCGCTAAATTACGCTTCAAGCAGAGAACCCGTTGGAATTTCCGAAAAGCAAACTGGAAACTATTTCAGGAAACATCTGACTGCCTCCTGGGAAGAATTGACAACAGATGTGTGGAAAATTTTTGTGAAGACATAACACAAGCAATCCTGAATGCAGCGTTGAAAGCCATCCTAAGGGGCAGCCGGAAGGCATATAAACCTTTTTGGAATAAAGAAATTCAAAATACTATATCTGAAAGGAATAAAGCAAGAATATTGCTCGAAACTGCACGTTCAACAGAAGCAAAGATCCAATACAATAAAGCATGTGCCAGAGTAAAGCCTGTAGTTAATAGGGCTAAAAGAGATAAATGGACAGAAACTTGCTCCAACTTAGACCTTAGACAGAATGGAAATAAAGCATGGACTTTAGTTAAAAACCTCTCCGGAGAAAGTAGAAGGGTGAACCCAAAACCAGTGACAGATGGGAGTAAGACAATCACTGAAGACAAGAAGAAAGCAGAACATTTCAATCATTATTTTGCCTCGGTTAACAGAGCAGGTGAGCTGTCAGAACTCAATATAACACAGCTCTCTCAGTTGAAGAAACAAGAGAGAGCTCCAACAGCCAGCGACTCCCTTTTTGAAAATGAATTTAGCATGGATGAATTAGAGCAAGCCCTGAAGAAATTAAAACCCAGAAAATCCCCAGGCCCAGATAAGATCCACAACGAAATGCTGCTACATCTTGGCCGGTCTGGGAGAGAAGTAGTGCTCAGGCTTATTAATAAAACTTGGAGGTCAAGCAAACTTCCAAAGGCATGGAGGAATGCATATATCGTCCCCATTCTTAAAACCAAAAAGCCTCCAGATGACCCCAAAAGCTACCACCGATATCCTTAACATCATGCTTGGGCAAAGTTGCAGAAAGAATGATAAACAGGCGCTTATATTGGTTCTTTGAGAGTTCTGGTGTTCTATGCCATGAACAGGCAGGCTTCAGAACCAACAGCTGCACAGAAGACCAGCTGTTCAGACTGACACAAAGAATACATGATGGCTTCCAGAATAAGAAACACACAGTGGCAGTCTTTGTCGACCTCCAGCAGGCCTATGACAGAGTATGGAGAAAAGGTCTCCTGATGAAGATGATGAGCATAGGAATACATGGCAGATTGTATAACTGGGTGAAATACTTCCTGATAGATAGAACAATACAGACTAAGATGCACAACGCAATCTCTTCTTAAGAAGTCTTGGAGGAGGCCTTGCCACAAGGCTCATCATTGAGCTGTACACTGTTCCTAATCTTTATCAATGACCTGCGAGAACAAAACAAGGCCGAAAAAGCCTTGTACGCTGATGACCTAGCAAAATGGCAGAGTTATGAAAATGTGGAAAGTGGAGCCCAAAGACTGAATGGAGACCTTAGAAGACTGCATGAGTACTGCCAAAGATGGAAACTCAAGGTTAACTGTGCAAAGACGGTCTACACAATCTTTACCAAAAGCCACCAAGTAGCAAGGAAGAATATTAACCTGTGGTTAGACAAACACCAAGTGATGAAAGAAGAGCAGCCCACATACCTTGGAGTCACACTTGACCCGCAGCTCAGCCTCAAGAACCATATTGAAAACGTCAGGAATAAGGCATTGAGGCGGTCACAGTTATTAAAGAGACTTGCAGGTACATCATGGGGATCAGACAAGGAAACTCTGAGGGGCTTATATCTAGGATATGTTCGCTCTGTGATAGAGTACAACAACTCACTGCTTACAACTTGCTCCAAAACTAACCTAGAGACTCTTGACAGAGTACAGAATAATGCCCTCCAATTAATCTGCGGAGCTATGCAGTCTACACCAACTGCTGCATGTGAAATCCATACAAATGTGGAACCCCTCGGGTTGCGGAGAGAAAAAGCCACTTTAGAAATTTATGAAAGATGCGTTAGGAAAAATCGTAACCATCCTAATAGACATCTTGTAGAAAACTGGGAATACAAACAAAGAATAAAGCACAAATCGGTTTTACACTGTGTTAATGAAATTCAGGACAGATACCACCTCCCAGAAAGACGTCAAGGAATTCAGAATGTTGCAAAAAACCTACCACCACATGCTCGTTTTAAAGCTCCAGAAGTCTGAATTAAATTGGTAGGCGAGGAAACCAAACAGTCCGATCCAATCGCTCTTATTAACTCATCACTAAAGACCGTAGATTCTTACCCCCAAGAATGGATACATGTCTCTACTGATGGATCAGCATTTAAAGCTACCATTAAAGCAGGTTACGGAATCTACATAGGTTATCCCGATGGATCTGTTGAAGAGATTTTTGATGCATGCGGGGAATTCTGTTCAAATTATGAAGCGGAAATAATTGCACTGGAAACCGCAGTATACCACCTGAAGACTGTAATGGATGTTTACCCCTCAAAGGTCCAAAATATTGTCATCTTCACAGATTCAATGTCTGCCCTTCAAGCTCATGAGGGCAGTGAACGCTGCAGAACTGACATAGCCAAGATAATCCTGGATACTGATCAGCTTATTACCTCATACAACATCAGAATAGTGATGCAGTGGATTCCAGGTCACTCCGGCACACCAGGTAATGACAGAGCTGACAGATTGGCAAAGAAAGGAGCAACACAAGAACAACCACCTACAGCGACAACCCTCCAGACAGCAAAAACACTGATAAGAGCTTTAAACAAAGAGACTTGGTTGAACAGATGGGCCATGGGAGACACTGGAAGAGAGGTTTTTAGACATATGTCTGGCCCTGATCCTAATGACAGCATTAACCATCTAACAAGAAGGGACCAGGCCACCATCTTCAGACTTAGAACGCAACATACTCCACTCAATGGACACCTAAACAGAATACAGCCACAACACTCCCCAGAGTGCCAGCTATGTAACTACCCCTACGAAACTGTTGAACACCGTCTCTTTGAGTGCCCAAAACTCAGTGAGACAAGAAGAACGCTACTCCCTCCGAGACCAGACAAGTGGAACACCTTGTACGGAGGAAAAGAACAGCTTGTGAAAACATGCAAATTCCACTACATGGCATTGGGCCAAAAGGGCGAAAGCTCATGCGCCGCTGGATCGATAACAACAACAACAGCAACAACAACACTCTCCATTCCCAGCTGTTTGCATCTTTGATTTCTGCAAAGGTTTGTGGTAATACTTTGTTTTCGAAAATTTGTAACGACGCTTTATCTCCTTTAGTCGGGTTCTAAGTTTCAGAGCCATATAAAACGATTGGCTTTATTAACGTTTTTTTTTTTTTTAATATTTTGATCTTGGTGTTGCGAGATAGAGACTTTGACTTTAGCAGATGTTGAAGAGCATAGTATATTTTATTTCCAGATTGTATTTTATTTTTTCTCTCAGCATGTTGGAGCAGTTGCAGTGTTACCCAAATACTTGTATGTTTCATTTTCATATTTCCAACTTGTTTGTGGCCATAGTTTATATCCTTTCCATGTCTTGTTATTAGAATGTATTCTGTCTTGTCTAGATTGATAACTAGTCCCATTTTGTGAGCTGCTTCTTTTAAGAGAGTCATCAATGTCATATATCAACATAATCAACATATCAACATAATAATAATAACAGGAACAACAATAACAATACCATAAAGAGAAACATCATAAACTAAAAATAGACAAACTCGTCAAATAACAAACAAAAAATGTTGGTAGTAAATATATGTTCTTCGTTTCTTAGTTTAGAAAAACGTCGACACTTTGTTTTACACTTTCCTTGTGTGATCTCATACTTTCTCCAGGCTTAACGTAGGCATCTGACACTCAGATTTACACTTTCCATGTATGTTCTTGTACTTTCTCCAGACTTAACGTCGGCATCTGACACTCAGATTTACACTTTCCTTGTGTGATCTTGCACTTTCTCCAGACTTAACGTCGCCATTTGACACTCAGATTTACACTTTCCTTGTGTGGTCTCGTACTTTCTCCAGGCCTAACGTCGGCATCTGACACTCAAATTTACACTTTCCTTGTGTGGTCTCGTACTTTCTCCAAGCCTAACGTCGCCATTTGACACTCAGATTTACACTTTCCGTGTGTGGTCTCGCACTTTCTCCAGACTTAACGTCGGCATCTCAACACACATGACCAGAACGGCGCCTGCAGCGCTGGTAAACACAACGCCGGCGATGCCAAATACTATCTGTAGTGATAAATAAAATGTAAATGTCAGATATTATATGTTATGTAACAACTTGCTCCAGTTTTAAAATATTCTGATGTCCCAATAAAGACAAAATGACAAATTATAAATACAATATTAATGCCGACTTTAGATTATCAGTGTCAGACTTGGACATTGACAAAGAACACGACAGAAAACTAACCTTCTGTGAGATGAGATGTTTGAGAATGACTCTGAATAAAACCAGAAGAGATCGAATGAGAAACGACGTGATCACCAGAAATTTCGGAACAACAAATTTGTTGAGAAACAAAGAATGAAATGGTTTGGCCATCTAATGAGAATGAAACCAACTATGCCAGCAGCAAAAGCGTACAAACTGAAAATCGAAACACCAAGAGATAGAGGGCGACCGAGAAGAACATGGATTGAAATAGTAGCTGACAACTTGAGACTGCATAACATCACGGTAGATCAAGCGATCGAACGCGCCCTGGCTCGGCTGCCGATTGTCTGAATAACTTCGACGTTACGGCATTAATTAACGAGATTTCGACAAAAGAAAGAAAAAAAAAAGAATGTCAGATTATTTAAAATATACTCCAAGCTAATATTTACATGCTGTCTGGGCTTTGTCCTGTTTGACTTGTTCTGCTCCACTGCTGCCTGTCTTAGATTGTTAACTCTTTCAGTCTCAATCATTGGGGGGGGGGGGGTGAGGAGGTGGGGGGGGGGGGGAGAATAATTCCCCCTTTTTTTAAAATCCTGTATGTGTGTGAGTATAGTGCTGCACTACTTTCGTGTAAAGTATTTTGGATGTTGCGTATATTTTTTTTTCAGTCTGTATAATATTTGCTGCCAGTTTTTGTAGTGTTATGTTCAAGTGTATCAGAAACACAAGAATGGAAGGGGATATGGGACGACTAGAGACGAAGGCATGTGAACACCGCTTGTCTGTCAGATTTAGTTGTTTTAGTCTTTGATTAGATGTGTTTTTATTTTATCCAGTGTATCTTGTATTCCTGTGCATTTTCTCGGATTCCCTCCTTTTGAAAATGATACAAAACTTCAAAGCCCGAGAATGTCCCAAGGTCTTGCTCCTCACGATGCTGTACTGCGACATTTAGCGCTGTTCTGTCAAAAAACCTTTTTGTGTTGTCGGTAATAAAATGTTACCACTGCTGACATTCTGCCAAGATATTATCTGGATTCTGGATCCTGCTCTCTCACTTCGTTGATTTTGTCTATCATTCTGTCTTTAAACTGCGTAGTAATTGTTTCCTTCTATTGTTAAATAGCCATGATGAACATCAAGAAAGATTGGCTAAAAAACAGCATCCTGTCTCGAAAGTTTAAATATGTTGATCATATCAAGCGCCAGACGGATTGGAAACAATTATAGCAGAAGGCATGGTACCAGGAAAGGGGGGGGGGGCAAAGGCCGATCGACACGAAGATGGGCACAGGATATAAGTGACTCCTTGAATGTGAAAGTGCACGAGGCATGAGAACTGGCGAGAGACTGAATTCCTTTCAGGCAGACTGTGATGAGAGCGACGTTCTGCAAAGGACCTGCTACATGATGATGATGTTAAATAGCCTTGTGATCTGCTTTCTTTGTTATTTCTGTAGTTGTTGACTCTACGTCCTTTGTTTGTTTTTGTTTTTTGTTGCTGTTGTGAACCCAACATTTTAGTGTCTTTTCCTCTGGGTGAATCATGTTTCTTCTTGGTTTTAGTAGAAAATTTTCGTGTTTTTCTCTGCAGGAATTGAGTGACCTCCATGTCAGCTGGTTGTGTTGGCACTATCACTGTCTTTGCCGATGGTGGGTTGTTGTCTACGATGGTGGGTTGTTGTCTACGATGGTGGGTTGTTGTCTACGATGGTGGGTTGTTGTCTACGTTGTCGACTTGTGGAGTCGTTGAAAAGGCTGATCTTTGCGTTCTCTTCCTGTCAGGACACTAGTTGGACCAATGATCGTCCTGCTTGCAGGACCGGTGTTGGTGCTTTATTAATATCCTACCCCAAACAGGGGAAATCCACAGGTCACGGGACAATTATTTTTTCAGGGGGTGGTAGATAGGCAGCATGCAGTCGTGGGACCTAGGCTGCAACCTCGCGTTGGACGTAGGTGGGTTGGAGTCAAGGCCAGATCTAGATGTTGTGGAGTCGTTAAAAACCTCCAAAAGCCGGAAAACTCAGTCTCTTACCACCCTCTAAAATGTTGGACTATGCAGTGACGTCATCTGGGGGAGGATATAAATAAAGAACCCCGGAGTTTACAGCCATTTCAACATCGACTAATCTTTCGCTTTCTAATTGTCGAATACAGTTTACCACTTGTAAACATCAAACAGGGCTTTTGTCTAGTATTTTCTGTATCATTGTCGTACAGTTTACCTGACCAGTATTTTATGCACTGCTGTTGTGAAGTATGTTGCTATTTTACGTTCAAAGTTAAAAAAGCTAGCAATAATTAAAATCGTTTTCGATCACCTACAAAAGACATCATGTTTAAATGAATTGGCTGCTCCAGGTTCTCAAGTATGACTGTCAGCACGGACATTTGCATGAGGTAGCCACTGTAGGTCAAGCGGCTCAGGACTGTGAATGGTGACCAGGACAGGAAGGTGTGGATCGGTCCTGGAAAACAACAGATTCAGTAAACAGAGTATTTGATAACTTACTGTTTTTGTGTGTTAATCCTTTATAATTCTATAGAAGTGTGACGGACACAGGAAGCAAGTGACGGACACAGCGAGCAAGTGACGGACACAGCAAGCAAGTGACGGACACAGCGAGCAAGTGACGGACACAGCGAGCAAGTGACGGACACAGTGATCAAGTGACGGAGACAGCGAGCAAGTGACGGACACAGCGAGCAAGTGACGGACACAGCGAGCAAGTGACGGACAGAGTGAGCAAGTGACGGACACAGCGAGCAAGTGACGGAGACAGCGAGCAAGTAATGGACACAGCGAGCAAGTGACGGACACAGCGAGCAAGTGACGGACAGAGTGAGCAAGTGACGGACACAGCGAGCAAGTGACGGACACAGCGAGCAAGTAATGGACACAGCGAGCAAGTGATGGAGACAGCGAGCAAGTGACGGACACAGCGAGCAAGTGACGGAGACAGCGAGCAAGTGACGGACACAGTGATCAAGTGACGGAGACAGCGAGCAAGTGACGGACACAGCGAGCAAGTGACGGACAGAGCGAGCAAGTGACGGACAGAGTGAGCAAGTGACGGACAGAGTGAGCAAGTGACGGACAGAGTGAGCAAGTGACGGACAGAGTGAGCAAGTGACGGACAGAGCGAGCAAGTGACAGACACAGTGACCAAGTGACAGACACAGTGGGCAAGTGACGGAGACAGAAAGCAAGTGACTGACAGAGCGAGCAAGTGACGGACACAGTGAGCAAGTGACGGACAGAGTGAGCAAGTGACGGACACAGCGAGCAAGTGACGGACACAGCGAGCAAGTGACAGACACAGTGGGCAAGTGACGGAGACAGAAAGCAAGTGACGGACAGAGCGAGCAAGTAACGGACACAGCAAGCAAGTGACAGACACAGTGATCAAGTGACGGACAGAGCGAGCAAGTGACGGACATAGCGAGCAAGTGACGGACACAGTGGGCAAGTGACGGAGACAGCAAGCAAGTGACGGACAGAGCGAGCAAGTGACGGACACAGTGAGCAGTGAGCAAGTGACAGAGTCATTGCACCCCCTCCCCCCGCCCCTTTCCGCCTCACCCCCCCCCCTTTCCACCCACCTGTTACCTCTAGCCACGCCAAACAATTCTATAGAAAGTAGAAAACGTCAGGGGACTGACTGACAATTAAAAAAAAAAAAAAAAGGTAATTGCGTATCCTTTACAGGACGTTGCAGAACCAATCCCAGCAATTTTGGATTGTAATAGGGTGCCTACACAAATTGCGCTTAATTAAAACGACTAGAGAATAACAGGCTCATCATGGCCTTCACCTTTATTTCTAGAAGATTTCCACAAAACTCGGTGATAGCAAAACAGTGCAGTACTAAAAGGGTTACTCGCTAATAATGTCATAGGGTCTTTAACCTGAGTTTCTCGAGACTTCCAACAATTTAGATAGAATTAAAATGTGACCCTGCCTTCTAGTACATGAAAATACCCAACTGTCAACATTTTCTGAATTTTTCTGATAAACTTGTATTTTAGAATAGCGGTTTGGAAAACACGTTGATGGAAGATTCTGGAAGCGAGCTAATGGTAACTATATTAGCGAGTGACTGGACCTCTCAAACACGAGGGAGGGCAGGCCAAGCTAGGTTAGTGTGCTAGAGACTTCACTCGGGACTTAAGGGATACTCTGTATAGAGTAATCTTTAAGACCCATAGATTAAAGAAATTTTAGAGGTGAAATCATATTTACTTACTTCTAACAGATGTATTGAAGTAATTAATTTATGTACATTTTTCGAGGAAAATAATTGTTAAAAAGAAAAGAGATAGTTTAAATAAAAGGAATAAAAATTTACAAGTTGTATTTGTGATACTGAGATGTTCTTGTCTGTTTGTTTGAGGCGCCAGGGTAGTGTTTACATAATAGAGTTGATATTCGAAGATCATTGTGATATCCTTTTATTTATTATGGGCATTGAGACAGAGGGATTTCAAATAATAACCGAACAGGAAGAGGAAGGTGACGCCAACTAGGCATCAACACAAGCACTACAGTATGAATAATTGTGCATTATAAATAAAGCAGCCTCTGTTTCAGGATGTTGTGGTTTTTCTAGGCAAATTTACATGCAGTAGTTTGCCACTGGTTTCCGCACGGTCAGCTCTCGGTACCACTGTCGAAACCAGCGCAAGACAGATCGCCCGCACCTGGGATCGAACCTGACACCCCGGCATTACGAAGCGCATTCCTAACGCCTGAGCCACAGATGCCGACTGATAATAACAATAAGCATTGATACATCTCTCACTGGCCCTACCTCCATATCCAGACGTGCAGGCGACAATGATCCAGCAAATACAAGCCCCAAATATGGTCCGGTGTGTTGCATTATAAATGGTAGCCACTAACAGATTGCTCTGATATGTCCCGCTCAAATCACCATGGACACCAAATACTACAGTCAACCCGGCTACTGTGGAAAGGATCCAACTAGTCACAACAACGTTCTGAAAAGGAACACACACAAAAAAAAACAGCAATCATTGGTGGCCACTTTGGTATGATGTACAGGTTAAATTATCATGAATTTTCTGTCCATGATATCCAGGATTGTGAGGTAATGATCAGGCTGATGGATTAGCTGCTGCTACTACTTTGAGCGCTGAGCTGCTGGATGATCAAGCGGACGTGCTGAAAGCTTTCTGGGATCAAATGGGCAGTGCATTAGAACAGTCAGAGAATCCATACATGGAGAGACGCATTCAACGGGGTAAGTAGATGGTCTGGAAGATATTCAACACTGAGAATGAAAACATAAGCGAACTTTTAATCACCTGGTACTATTAGCATGTCGACCCTTCGACTGATTGATTCATTCATTTATTCATACCAGTTTAACTACCGTACTAAGACAGTGACTGTAAAGCTTTTCTACCCTAACAGTAGAAGACACGGGGAGACACAGGCGTTCCTACCTCAACGAAAGAGGGACATTGATACGTGGGGACATCACACTCTTTTGCCCCAACAATATAGGGGACATAACAACATACTATTTTACCCCGAAAAATGAGGGGACAAAACAACACAAACTCTTATACGCCAACAATATGAAGACATAACAACACAAACTTGTATATCCTAACAGCATGAGGACATAACAACAAAAACTCGCATACATGGGGGCATAACAATACAAACTCTTCTACTTCAACAACATGGGAGCATAACAACTCAAAAACTTCTACCTAAACAACAAGATGACATAACGACTCACATACTTCTACCTCAACAACAAGGGGACATAACAACTCACATACTTCTACCTCAACAATAAGGGGACATAACCACTCACATCCTTCTACCTCAACAACAAGGGGACATAACAACTCACATACTTCTACGTCAACAACAAGGGGACATAATAACTCACATACTTCTACCTCAACAACAAGGGGACATAACAACTCACATACTTCTACCTCAACAACAAGGGGACATAACAACTCACATACTTCTACTTTAACAACAAGGGGACATAACAACTCACATACTTCTACCTTAACAATAAGGGAACATAACGTCTCACATACTTCTACCATAACAACAAGGGGACATAACAACTCACATACTTCTACCTCAACAACAAAGGGACATAACAACTCACATACTTATACCTCAACAATAAGGGGGCATAACGCAAAATCTTTTACCTCAACAACAAGGGGACATAAAAACTCACATACTTCTACCTCAACAACAAGGGGACAAAACAACTCACATACTTTTACCTCAACAATAAGGGGACAAAACAACTCACATACTTTTACCTCAACAACAAGGGGACAAAACAACTCACATACTTCTACCTCAACAATAAGGGGACATAACTCAAAATCTTTTACCTCAACAACAAGGGGACATAATAACATACCTACTATTACCTCAACAACAAGGGGACGCAACACGAAATTTAACGAAAACAGGGAACACGTTTTATGCCTATGCATTGAGCAGGGACTGTTTATCTCAAATACATTTCGTGTAACACAGGTACATTAGGGCACGCCTGCAGTCACACAGTCATCTGCCCATCAATGCGGGCGTGGCATACGAATACAGATCGACCGATGTGAAGGAAGAGATTCAAACAGGTACTCCACATGTGGGGTTTCGAGGCCCTGTTATGGGGAAAACAAGAATAGACCCACTGCCCCCCCCCCCCCAAGGCATGTCGTAAGAGTCGACCAATTGGGCGCTACCTTCAAAGTCGAAGTGCATCTGTCTGAGAGGCACAGAAACAACAGTCGCATATAAATTAGTCAGATCTGTTAAACAGATGCACACACAACACTCAAGACTGCAGACCAGTAGTTGACGTACAACTAGAACTTTCTGCCCAAGTTTACAACTGGTGAACGCAAAGAAAAAGAAGAAACAGGTACAAATACCACAAACCCCGTTCTACCGTGAAGCCATAAAGCACAGCTACCTTAGGGCACCATACAACGGTTACGGGTAAGCATGTAGTCCAGTGAGGGAGGGTATACTGCAATCGACCTGAATTAGGTCTTCTACCACAACAGCAGGATGAAAATAACGCACGCAGATTTCTACACAGCTGTTGCTAAAAGCCATTATTAAAAGGAATGTTGTGCTTAATCCGAAGCAATCCTCAAGTTAAACAGAAACATGGCTTACCCTGTCCATAGTAACACGGCCGTTGTTGGCGGAAACAGAAACATGGCTTACCCTGTCCATAGTAACACGGCCGTTGTTGGCGGAAACAGAAACATGGCTTACCCTGTCCATAGTGACACGGCTGTTGTTGGCGGAAACAGAAACATAGCTTACCTTGTCCATACTGACACGGCTGTTGTTGGCGGAAACAGAAACATGGCTTACCCTGTCCATAGTGACACGGCTGTTGTTGGCTGAAACAAAAACATGGCTTACCCTGTCCATAGTGACACGGCTGTTGTTGGCTGAAACAAAAACATGGCTTACCCTGTCCATAGTGACACGGCTGTTGTTGGTGGAAACAGAAACATGGCTTACCCTGTCCATGGTGACACGGCTGTTGTTGATGGAAACATAAACATGGCTCACCCTGTCCATAGTGACACGGCCGTTGTTGGTGGAAACAGAAAAATGGCTTACACTGTCTATGGTGACACGGCCGTTGTTGGCGGAAACAGAAACATAGCTTACCCTGTCCATAGTGACACGGCCGTTGTTGGTGGAAACAGAAACATGGCTTACCCTGTCCATAGTGACACGGCTGTTGTTGGTGGAAACAGAAACATGGCTTTCCCTGTCCATAGTGACACGGCCGTTGTTGGCGGAAACATAAACATGGCTTACCCTGTCCATAGTAACACGGCTGTTGTTGGCGGAAACATAAACATGGCTTACCCTGTCCATGGTGACACGGCCGTTGTTAGTCCACATGATGTACCCGGTAAGGACACCCAGAGCAAAAGGACCGACCCTTGTGTAGAATGGGACGTAGGTGAAGTACAGATGCAATGATGGTACACTGTGGAAAAGGGTCATGTTTTTACTGTTAATAATATATCACGTTTGTGTGTGTATTTGTGAGTGTCTGTTTTTATGTTCTCCTTCACTTCCTTCCCCTCCTCCTCCTCCTTATCATCCTTCTTCTTCTTCTTTTTCTTCATCTTCTTCTTCTTCTTCTTCTTCTTCTTCTTCTTCTTCTTCTTCTTCTTCTTCTTCTTCTTCTGCTTCTTCTTCTTTTTCTTCTTCTTCTTCTTCTTTCTTCTTCTTCTTCTTCTTCTTCTTCTTCTTCTTCTTCTTCTTCTTCTCTTCTTATTCTTATTTTTCTTCTTCTTCTTCTTCTCTTCTTCTTCTTCTTCTTCTTCTTCTTCTTCTTCTTCTTCTTCTTCTTCTTCTTCTTCTTCTTCTTCTTCTTCTTCTTCTTCTTCTTCTTCTTCTTCTTCTTCTTCTTCTTCTTCTTCTTCTTCTTCTTCTTCTTCTTCTTCTTCTTCTTCTTCTTCTTCTTCTTCTTCTTCTTCTTCTTCTTCTTCTTCTTCTTCTTCTTCTTCTTCTTCTTCTTCTTCTTCTTCTTCTTCTTCTTCTTCTTCTTCTTCTTCTTCTTCTTCTTCGACAAAAGTTACAGATATTAAACTTATTAAACAAGCCTCCGCTTGAGCTCTATGTTGACAAACTACCTATTAGTAATGTTAATGAACACACAACATTAGGCGTTACAACTGATAGCAATTTAACTTGGTGTTCTCATGTTCTGCCATAAGCAAGAAAGTAGCACAAACAGTTAATTAGTTAGCCAAAATTCAGCACTTTCTGGATCAGAGTACAAGAACAATATTTTATGTATCCCACATTTAATCCCATATCGACTATTGTTCCACGGTTTGGGATGGTTGCTCCAAATCTAACTTAAAACGACTGTGTTATCTCTACAAAATCGCGCTTTACACCTAGTCTCAATAAAAAACACACTGACAAAAATCATCTCTATAGCCATTTAGGAATTCTCCCATTTAATAAACAATTTATTTTTAATAAAGCCAAATTTATTCATAAAATTTTAGCTCAGAACACTGCAGATTTTTCTGGTTGAATGAAACCAAACCTAAGAACATCAAACGGCTAAATGTATTGTATTTGCTCATTTAACCGCAGGCTTTTGAAATGCATGCTTACTAGTGATTATATGCCACCATAGATGTAGTTAATAATTCACATGCATTATCCTCTAACTTAAATGCATTATATGTGTATCTAAGTGTGTATTATGTGGGTGTGTGTGTGTGATTGTTGGTGAGTGTGTGTATGTATGTAGATATATGTTTGTACTTTTAGGTTTGTACGTATGTGTGTGTCTTTATGTATATATGATGTAAGTATATGGGTGTATATATGTGGGTGTATGTGTGATTGTATATGAGTGTATTTGTGATTGTGGGTGTGTGTGTGTATATTATGTATGCAAGTATGTATGTATGTATGTATGTATGTATGTATGTATGTATGTATGTATGTATGTATGTATGTATGTATGTATGTATGTATGTATGTATGTATGTATGTATGTATGTATGTATGTATGTATGTATGTATGTATGTATGTATGTATGTATGTATGTATGTATGTATGTATGTATGTATGTATGTATGTATGTATGTATGTATGTATGTATGTATGTATGTATGTATGTATGTATGTATGTATGTATGTATGTATGTATGTATGTATGTATGTATGTATGTATGTATGTATGTATGTATGTATGTATGTATGTATGTATGTATGTATGTATGTATGTATGTATGTATGTATGTATGTATGTATGTATGTATGTATGTATGTATGTATGTATGTATGTATGTATGTATGTATGTATGTATGTATGTATGTATGTATGTATGTATGTATGTATGTATGTATGTATGTATGTATGTATGTATGTATGTATGTATGTATGTATGTATGTATGTATGTATGTATGTATGTATGTATGTATGTATGTATGTATGTATGTATGTATGTATGTATGTATGTATGTATGTATGTATGTATGTATGTATGTATGTATGTATGTATGTATGTATGTATGTATGTATGTATGTATGTATGTATGTATGTATGTATGTATGTATGTATGTATGTATGTATGTATGTATGTATGTATGTATGTATGTATGTATGTATGTATGTATGTATGTATGTATGTATGTATGTATGTATGTATGTATGTATGTATGTATGTATGTATGTATGTATGTATGTATGTATGTATGTATGTATGTATGTATGTATGTATGTATGTATGTATGTATGTATGTATGTATGTATGTATGTATGTATGTATGTATGTATGTATGTATGTATGTATGTATGTATGTATGTATGTATGTATGTATGTATGTATGTATGTATGTATGTATGTATGTATGTATGTATGTATGTATGTATGTATGTATGTATGTATGTATGTATGTATGTATGTATGTATGTATGTATGTATGTATGTATGTATGTATGTATGTATGTATGTATGTATGTATGTATGTATGTATGTATGTATGTATGTATGTATGTATGTATGTATGTATGTATGTATGTATGTATGTATGTATGTATGTATGTATGTATGTATGTATGTATGTATGCAGGCATATATATGTGAACGTATGTATGTATGTGCGTGTCTGTATGTGTGATTGTATATGTGTGTATGTATGTTATATGTGTGTAAGTATGTGCGTATATGCATGAATGTGTGTATGTATGCATGTATGTGTATGTATGTATGAATGCATGTATGTGTTTGTGCATGTATGTCTATGTATATGTTTTATGTTTGTGTATGTATTTATATGTGTTGATGTATGTATGGATGTATGTTTGTATTATGTATGCATGTAGATGTAGTGTATGTATACATGTGGAGGTATGTATGTGTGCGTGTATGTATGTATTACATATGTCTGTGTCTGTGTATGTATGAGAATATGTGTATGTAAATGTAGCTGTGTAAGTATGTGGGTGTATGTGTGTGGTGTTTATGTATGTATGTGAATGTATGTGGATGTATGTAAATATATGTAGCTGTGTAAGTATGTGGGTGTATGTGTGTGGTGTTTATGTATGTATGTGAATGTATGTGGATGTATGTAAATATATGTTGCTGTGTAAGTATGTGTATTATGGATGTGTATGTATGTATAAAAGTATCTATGTGTGTGTATGTATGTAAGTATGTATGTATTTTATGGGTATGGGTGTGTGTGTATGTATATGGATATGTGTATGTATATCTAGGTTTGTAAGTGTGTGTATTTATGAATGTATGTTGTAATTATGTGGGTGTATGTGTGATTGTGTATGTAAGTGTGGGTTTATATAATGTATGCAAGTTTAGTTAGTTAGTTAGTTAGTTAGTTAGTTAGTTAGTTAGTTAGTTAGTTAGTTAGTTAGTTAGTTAGTTAGTTAGTTAGTTAGTTAGTTAGTTAGTTAGTTAGTTAGTTAGTTAGTTAGTTAGTTAGTTAGTTAGTTAGTTAGTTAGTTAGTTAGTTAGTTGGGTTATCCTCATTGCACTCCGGACATGTCTATAGGTGCTCAGATCCTCCCCTCAGTATGAACCCCAACGTCCGATGGCTAATAGTACCAGTTCTATGTTGATTAACAAGTCTTCTGGCGTAGCTGGTGTGCGTCTCGTTTTCTGCTGTGCCGATCTTAATTCCCAAGTCTGCCATTCTGGCGAGTGATGTGGATTCACTGCCACCAAAGTCCTCTATCCTTCCCATTTCTCTGAGGGCATTGATAATATCAGCATGATCCATAGGCTGACCGTCGGTAGTGATAGCGGATCGAGCCAACCTGTCAGCTCTTTCATTTCCATCGACGCCTGCGTGTCCCGGAACAAAAATAAAGGTGACTCCACGGACAGTGGACTTCTGTAATGATTCAAGCCATTGTCTTCGCACTGAACCTGCCTGAACCCTCCGGATCATACTCATTGAATCACTGAGTATACACACGCGGGTGTATTTTTGTGTTTCAAGCCAGGCAAGCGCTTGTGTCACTGCCATCACCTCCATCGTCATACTGCTGGTTGTCATGGAGAAGGCGCCGTTGGCTTCTTTGACTGTTCTGCCCGCTGAGCGTGCTGTAAATGCCCATGCGATTCTTCTTTGGCGTATAACGGATCCGTCTGTATAGATTATTGCATCTGCTTCGTCTGAATTTTCACCGATGAGAGCGTTGACCTCTGCATTAACAGCAACAGGATTCTCTTCTCTACATCGCCTGTTGAGTGTGACAATACAGGAAAATGTACAAATAAACGCCTGAGGCACAGGTATCCATTCTGCACCAGGTATGATGTCGGTTAGGCTGCATATTTGCCTAATAACATCTTCTGCCCGACCTAGCCACGATTTCCCCCTCTTCAGTCTGTGGCCCTTTTCACTAAAAAGCGCTTGATGCAGTGGGTGTTTCTTATCAGCACATATTTTGAGATATGCCCGAGCCCACCACATCCTGATCCTTTGGTTCATTGTTGGAAAGTCAAGTAGATACCTCATTGCTCCACAGGATGTGTCTCTAGTACATCCCAAAATAATGCGCATGGCTTCATTTTGCACCTTTTCGAGTCGTTCAATCTGGGTAGCACTGACAGTGAGGATGGCCAGAGCGTATTCAATGGGGGAAAGGACCAGACCGTAGAATAGAAGTATTAGTAGTCTTTGCTCAATGTTGGAAGCAGCCATAATCCTCATTGCAGATAGACCTTTGCGTGCTTTTGTTATCACATGGTCAACGTGTTCCCTGAATGACAAGCTGCGATCGAACCTCACCCGAGAAACGTCATAACGTTGGTTCTGATCAATACATTATCACGCATTTTCACTTCTGGTAATTCCGACTTGACAATGTGATTGTTCAAAGAGAACCATGACACTGATGCCTTCGAAGGATTGACATAGGCATTGGAACCATCACACCAGGCGGCAATTCGATCGAGTTCTTTGTGCATAGTGCTGGCGATC